TTTCTTTAGCTGACAATAAGCGGTCTGTCCCAGCTGATGAAGAAAATGCCTTCTTTTCGTAAGCAGCTTGCACAGGTATTTTCCTCGTGTGACGTTTTAATGAATTTAATTCTGTTTTTATTCTGTTATGGGTTTTATTTTTATTCATTATTATTATTATATTTATTTAAATTTATATTTTCCATTTTTGTTTTGTTTTGCTTTCTGGCACTTGCCAGGCTGTCATTGTAAATAAGAAACTGTTATTAAAGCTTTGCCTGGTAAAATAAAGGTGAATGAATGAAGGCTTGATTAGATTGCCTCACAGCATTGGCATTAGGCAAAGATGCAAGGGACTGCAAACAGAAGCCATGCTTCCGACTGCATTGTGTTCTTGGGTTGATATAAATTGGTGCTGATGGCTTTGTGGAAAAGGCAAGATATCGGCCGATATTCATTAAAAAGTAAAGTATTGGTTTGATGTATCAGTCTTGTTCGATATTGCCAGGCAATATTGAAACTGTATCAGTATTCAAAGTTAACAGCACCAGAGCTAAAGTCACTAATAAGAAAATAAAGATGATGACATTGTACGATTAGCCATCTTCCCTAGTGGAGGATGAGGAATGTTGTTGGCTCATTCATCATTTAGAAGAAGCGTTGCCACTATCAATCTGAAGAAACGTGGGAGCACTCCTCCGCCCCCAGTGACTGTTTCTCTTCTGTCCATTTCAGAAAGTGGTCCATCTGAACTTAACTGAGGACTGCATGAAACAATTTCAGGATAGCGTGGAGAAGCTATGCAAAGCTGAACAGGTGCCATTTGCGGTTTTCTTTGAGACTTCGTTTATTGTTTTCTGAAACATTTTGCTGCACTGAGCAGTGTCAGCTTCCATGTGTTTTAATGCACCTTCTTAAAATTAATGCCCATTGATCAAAGGTAGACTTGCGTGCTGCTTGCTTAGTGTAGTATTTCCCAAACCGGTCCTTGGGGACGCCTAGACAGTCTACATTTTTGCTCCCTTTCAGTTCCCTGTCAGACAGTCTACATTTTTACCGGGGGCCGGGAGGGAGAAAAACGTGGACTGTCTGTGGGTCCCGAGAACCGGACTGGGAACACTGACATAGCAGAATGCATATTGCAGGTGATATGTGTTCGTCATTCCCCAGGATTTAGCTCTCGGAGCTGACGCAGAAGGTCAGAAGGTCAAGGACCCAATGAGGACACTTCTGCCTGTGCTTCTCTACAATCATTCAGTCTATGACAAGATCCGAGCTGTGCTTCTTTACATATTCAGCCTTAATGGTTTGTATGCGATTTTACAATGTAGCCATTTTTCAAATTGAAACTTCAAAAACTATTTGGTAAATATCAGTCACAAAATGAAGTAAAAATAAAAGCTATAGCGTTATGTTGAGTCATTGATATTGTTCCCTAACCACATATAGCCCAGGTTTAACTTGTACATCACCAGCTGTCAAATTATGATTGTTGTGGGTTTGACTGTAGTTTTGTTTAATGATGGCAGGGACAACTGAAGAGAACCTGAGCAAACTGATTCAACACGTCAAGATCGAAAACGAAAGTGAATTCATTTTGAACTGGAAAGAGCTTGGTGTGCCAGTAATCTCACCGGGAGTGAGTAATGAATGTATTTTCAAATAGCTGAGGCCTGTCCTGTAAAGGCACTTTTTTAAACTGTGAATCTATAGTACAGACTCCTCAGTCATTAACTAATTAAGCTATGATGACTGAATGTGAAATATTCTTCCGTCAAGTGACATCATCGCCACATGATATGTGCGCGAGTGATTTGAAAATGTGCAACTGTCCTGTAATTTGTTCCTTGCCCCCACCCATTTACAGACGGCTTCCTTCCCAGTCCGTAAGCCGTCTCGACGGGAACGTGCCGAAGAAACCTATTCCCTCTCTCGATGGACGCCCATCATTAAAGACGTGATGGAGGTGAACCACACGGGGTGGGGTGTTGTTGCCCGATGTGTGTGTGGCCAGTTTCTGCAGGAAACTCGTTTGAAATCACCTGGCTGCTCCTTGTTATCGTCATTCACAAAAATAAAGGAAAGTGTCGCATTACGCACTTCATCTGAGCATTTCATAACCTGCAGCAGTTACATATTCAAAGGGGGGAATATGGGAAGGTCTTTTGTCACAGAGAGCTGCCTCTTCTGCGCTAATGTAATTACCTGTGGCCAAGCCATTCTCTGCCATTTGAAGTTCTGCGACTTGAGTGGTCTGTAATGTAGCCGCTCATTGCATTGCCTGGAACAGTAGTGAGAACTGTCTTGGTGAGTCAGCTCAGCAGTTAATGGCATTGGTCAATTTTTTCCTGTTTTCCATCAGTCACGTTTGTGCAGTGTTTTTTTTTTTTTTATTATGTAAGGGAGGTGTCAGAAAAAATATGGACTGCTAAATATGGACTGCTAAATATGGACTGGTGTGACGTTAGAGTAAGAGGGGGCATTGTGTAGCTTAGTGGGATAAGCCTCTGTATCTGTGATGAGAAGGTTGCCGTTTCGAGCTCATCTGCTGGTGCTTGAGCAAGGCCCTTAACCCCCCCTCCCCCCCAGCTCCCTGAGCGCTGCTATGGGAGGCTGTCCTTTGCAGCCAGCTTACCGCCACCTACAGAGTGCCCCAAAGAATTTCCCCACAGGGATCAATAAAGTATCATTATTATTATCAATAGGTTTAAGCCTTGAGTGGTTCGTGATTTAAATGTCGGTCCGTAACAAAACCATTTCTGGTTTTAACATGCCCTAGTTTGTGTCCGGAAAGCCTTGTACTCATTTTGACCATCACTTTTGTACCTCAGCAAGTAGAGCGTTGCGCTAACAACACAAGGGCGTCGGCTCAAACACAGGCAGGATACGTGGATTGTAACCCTTCCCTCTACTGTAAGTCACTTTGGATAAAGGCGTCAGATAAATGTAACTATAGTTGTGCTTTGATTGGCATCAGTTTTCCCTTTATGAAACTATTGTGTTTGTATTTCAAATGTCGTCATGAAATGTATTTGGGGTCAAGGCACCTTTTGAAAAGTCCTGGATTAGGTGATAGTTCCCTGTGCTTTTCGGGATACAGTTTACGTGCGATGCTCCCAGTTAGTCACCAGTAAGATGGGATACAGTGTACTGCGATGCTCCCAGTTAGTCACCAGTAAGACGGGATACAGTGTACTGCGATGCTCCCAGTTAGTCACCAGTA